CCGGTAAGTTTTCAAAATTAAATTTACCTCACTGAAGCAGAGTTCTTCATGAAATCCAGTCAGCACCGTACTTACAAGTCCCCTATAAATATCCTTATCCCGTCCCAGATGAAGTATTTCACAACCCAACACTCGACTTCTGTAAGAAACATTTCAATTAATTTTCTTCTTTTTAAATTTATTATTGTCATTTCCATTTGTTACCCTTTAAATTTAATTGATAGTGTGTTTGAGGTGTGTATGCACCCAACTTAGGGTGTCGCGTCATAGTGTTTCGCTACGATTTCCGCCAATTACAGTTTGAAGCTTATCCAATGGATACCGGGGTCCTTTCCCGAGGTAAATCGCGGCCGGGGCCTGATGCTTACCACTCACCCCATCTAGTGCCGAGATCAAGAATGAGTAGGAGCTACACAACCTCTCCCCCCAAGCGCCTACATGGCGTATAGTGGGACAGCTTTATTATTATTCTTAACATCCCAAATATTACTCTATGTACTATTTCATCACACAGGACACGTAAGTTAACGTTATATTTCCATGCATATCCAGGCTTATCAAATGGTATCTTAGCTATAGATTTTTCAACTAAATTTTATTAATTTTCATCTCTATTATGCGTGGTGCATGCCCTGTCCATTTCAGCCTCTTCGATTTAATTGCAGTAATAATACCATCTTAATCTTAATTCCAAATATTTTCGTCAGCATCCTGTTCTCAAACATCCTTAACATGTGACCTATTACAGTGAGAGGTTAAGTTTTACACTTTTATATATATAAGCTTTGAAGTTGGTAACTTTTATTTATTTTACGTTTAAATAATTTTATTTCCCTGAACATTAATTATTCAAGTACATGTCATTCTCTGGAGTGAGTATATAACGATTTGTTAATATGGTTATTCATTATATCAGCATTATATTTTATGTTGTCCATCGTCTGAGGTTGGCCTATGTTTGATATATTTTACGAATCATTGGCTCTATTATATTACAATCAGCTGCTAATGTCGTCTGTAGGTACTTGGACATATTCGAGAAGAAAATTGTCACACTTCTTCACATTCTATAATAGTATAATTTACTTAATTGATTTAAATTATTTTTACAAATATGTTAATATACTTAGTTGCAATTTTCTTGTGTATTAACGTCCTCTATTAATGTAATTTATAATCTGCTTGTTTTACGTTATCTGTAACTGGCAATCAGGCTGTTGATACATGACACTAATAATAAATAATTGAATTGAATTTATTAAAACAGAAAGGTACTTGGTGTAATACAGATGTGACCTTAGGTAAGCAATATAAAGTGGATCGTTAGGTACAAAAATATGTACTCTAAGGTTGAGCTAATACTTGAAAGGTAGTTATTTCTATTAATAGCGTTCTTTTTATTGACATTGTCAACTTAAATCATATTCGTAATTTTTTCTTGAATCGCGAATATCCTCTTCTGAATATAATAGAGCGACTAGACACGTTAAAGATTGTGCTTGTTAGCAGCAAAGTTGAGAAAAATGCAGATACGCGGAGTTTCTTCATGAACGCAGTGATACCAACTTCATTCTTTATTAAGAACTTTAACTAGTATTTGCATTGCATTACAGTTTCAGTTGGGGGGAAGATTCGATGAACACCCGACTGTCAAAACTGAATAACGAACCACGTGTAGCAACGATAAAAAATTGGAAAAAAAAAATGCACATCACAGAACGCAGATAAAAATTCATAGCCTATTCACGAAAAATTTGTAGTAAAAAATTTTCAACATGAAATTATGTTAACAATTCTTCTTGTGTCGAACTTCCTTTTGCTTATCAAACTTTCCTCTGCATTTCTTCGTAAACCAAGAGCTTTATGGCACTGCAATTGCCTCGTTTATAACCGAAGTTCAACAGTTAAGACTTCTGTTCACTCTTACAACCGTTAAAATGGTTTGACACCCATTTAAAAGAAATTCAAATAGGGTTACAATAACAACTTCGTTATTTCATTCTTTTTCTGTGTAGAGACATTTTAGAGCATAAAGAACAAAGGAAGTAATATTTATTTTTTATTTTAAAAATTGTGATTTGATCACTGGATACCTCTATAACTGTCTACAAACAGTAGAACATTGCATAAACGTGCCGGCGACAAAGGGCGATGTCCAATTACTCCATAATTGACGACAATTATTTCATTTACATGTTTCTATATTATATTTTCATTACTTTATTTAATACTTTGGTATCTAGTGATAATTTACCCAATCTATTTACGTTTGATACAATCGTATTTTAATATCGAGTAACAATTTCTCGGAAAATTAATGATCTCAGTATTGATACTACAGTGAGTTAACAATTTCTCTTGAAAATTTGTATCTAATCAAATTATCGGAAAAATAAAATTAATTCCGAAAATCATTCCTCATTACGGACAGACAAATTTGTCGGAAAAGTAATTAGCCTGTCATTAATACTACGGAATTCTAAAGGTTTTTATTGCAAAATTGTCAACGTACACATCATCAGATAGCTAAAATCACAGTTCTCTTGTTCTAACGTAACTAAACCAACTCCATGAAGCTGAATAATTGTTCGGAAGCTAACAGAGATTAAAACCCAAATGTGCATTACTGTGATCGTAAGATTTCGCCACTGGATCTATTTTGAGTCACGTGATTATAGAGTACACCTTCACAAATTGTTTATTTTGCATTTATTTTAGTACTGTCCTCAGTTCCTTGTAATTAAAAGTCTGTGCAGCAGTACCTCGAAAGAGGGAAAATTCACTGTCAATTCCTTTATTTTATTAAGGGACATTTGTTTCCTTTAATCTACACAGACCACTTCAGTTCTATGAGTTTAATTTAATGTGACATTACCAACAATTCTGTACCTTGAATCTTATTATCCCTTATACAGGCCGAGGACACGGTAGCCTATTCAGTACCTTCCACAAGCCACATGTCCGTCATCGTCTCAAGAATTTTCCAATCTGGAAATTCTTCAGCCAGTTATCTGTAATTTTACTGAATATTCTTCTTTGTTGACACGCAAGAGAATTTTCCTACGGGATTAAGAAAACTGCTGTCGTTTTAGGGTAATGGAATACCCGTAGATAGAACAAGCGTGCTGTTTTGGTTAGTAAGATTTACTACCGAAACTTTAGCGGATTATTTACTGTGTCTCCTTTACACAAAGTGCATGGGTTTAACGGATTATGAGCTGGTCGTGTCCGTCCGCCCGTCAGCTCGTCTGTCCAGTCAATTCTACTCGAGAACTACTGGACTCACTGGCAAAGTATTTGGAACGGAAGTTATGAAAATTGTGTAATAAGGGGCTTCACAATTTGTTCCCTACAACAAATTCATTAAGACGATTAAAGATAAAAGCATATAACACGGCAGAAACGATAAATTCTCGGAAATCTGATAAAAAAAGTCATTTGTGAGACCTAGACGTAGAAGTGAAAATAATATTAAAATGGTTTTCGAACAAATGTGATGTGAGGATTTTAACTGAATTCAACTGGATTTTATAGAATGCAGTGACAGGTTACTGTGGACATAAGAGTGAGGATTTTCATTCCGTAAAAGGCAGGGAATTTCTTGATCGGATTTACAGCAAAAAAGTCTGCTTCATGGATATACAGTGTTGCCAACTTCAGAAACTGTTTTGTTTTAGAAGTGTTTTGTGCTCGTTCAATGTATCACACAAGTTACGCCTCCAGGCGTCTCAGAGCTCTAAATCCTGTTTTGCAACAAGAACTTCAGTTGCAGTTTTGTAACCTTATCAACTGTGATAAACGGATTGAGCTCCATTATTAATGGGGAGACGTCCATCGACAGTGGCTCCTCTTGTGGCGGGTGTTGTAGTTAAAGGACATACGGTTCATGAATACACCCAGAATCGAGCCGCTGAGCGTGTTTAAATTACAGTCTAATTATTTATATTTCATAATAATTTGGTTTAAATTAATATAGTTGTTTACTAATTTGTGATACTGCCTTAGCAAAATTAAATACATTAGTATTATTTTTATTAATACGGAAATGTACACCTAAAATATTTTACTACCAACTTTCGGAGCATATATTTCTCCCCACTGTGGCACGTTGCTGTCTTTCTGAAAGTGAGAACTTTATGGATTCTTTTTTAATTTTCGGAAGTTACAAGATTCATACATGAAGTCCATAGGCCATCACGGAAATTAAATATCTGTGAAATTTTACCTTTTATCCATGCTTTCCGACAGATATATTTGGTTATATGTTTCCGAGGTTTTTAATTTTAACATTTTCGAGGAGTCTTGTTCATTCATCCCAAAAGAAAGTTGGACTTCAGTCTCGCGATAAAATTCAAAGCTCTACCTCTCTTTTGTTTCCGAGAACGTAATTGCCTCGGTTGAAGACAGGCTCAACTACAGATAATAATGTGACACAAATTACTATTTGGTATTTTAATTTACATATTTATTTTTATTATAATCATTCCTCTGTTCATATCTTCTGAGGGGTTTTCTATTTTTCCCCATGTTTCAATTTTCTCTGGCATCTAGATCGAATTATCTTAAAAATAAGTGGTGTGAAGCTTCCCAATATGAGATTTTTCTCCATCATCCTGTTACTTCATTCGTTACTGGACCAAAAATTCTCCTCAGCCTCCGTTCTCGAGAAGTACCCAGTTTCGTATTGTGAAGTAACAGTGAGCTACAGAGTGTTGTGTGTCAAACCTTGGTTCGCCTAGAGACAGTGCAGTGTGACTTGTCTAACCCGCGTTTTTCGTAATTTTCAGCTGAAATAAATCGAAATACACAAGGCTTCACAAATATGGAGAAATCAGTTCAAAAGTGGTCTTCGTAACTTTGTTATAGCTGTTCCACCGTTCATAACTTAATATCCTATCTATGTAGAGCAGATACACGTTTTTGCTTCCAAGAAACGTAAGGTATTAGACTGCGAAATGGCACCTCTGCCCTTGTAATAAATCCATTAATTTCTTTTTCAGCGCGAGGAGACAACAAAGTTGAGAGCTTCAAATTTACGGTGCGAGAAGCAACGTTTTGAAGAAACATTTCTTCAAACCGATATTCCCCAGTGCTCTTCTAAAGGTAGGCGTAAAGAATGAAGAAATACATTACGTATATAAAGTTGAGAAAAAAACTGTGAGTTTTGAGGTTCTTACGGTGGAGGAGATAGCGATGTTGCCTATCCACGGTTCTTCAGGGTACCATAACCAAAAATAATAAAAAAAATTAGTGACTGCGATTGTAGACGATTTGCCTATCCACAGTTCTTCAGGGACCCATAACCAAAAAGGATACGAAAAATTAGTGACTGCGATTGTAGACGAGGATATAAATTGATGGACCAAGAATGTTTGGTTGATAAATAAACGATAAATATGGTTATAATGGTAGGGATAAATAACAATTAAAAAAAATTCAACTGCCTTGTATAATGTTATCAGAAATCGTCCTCTTTCAATACGTAATATTAAAGTTTATTCAATTACCTGCCTTTTCATAAGGTGAATAAAATGACGATGTTCAGTCGTGTTAAAAATATGGGGAAATCTATTGTTCTAGACAAGTCAAGTTATACTGCAGAAAAGGACACCTTGACAAGAAAGGATTAAAATTCATTGCAATGGAAGGGGTATTGCTCAGTTTAACAAAGATTGCAGAGCCAATTTAGCCCGTGACCCACTTATTTTCGTGATATCCCTTTCCTGAAAATCATTCTACTGTAGTGAAGTGAGGTACAGTGGCTTCGTTACGTTAAAATAAGGTTCCTCGTGCCCAGAAAATCCTATCACAAATCTCGAAAGCAGACGGTAAGAAAGATTTAGACCGTGAAATTACGGCATTAAATGCAGAACTTGAAAACAGTCAGAACGATCGGGGAAGCCGTTTTAAAACAGTCACCGCAGTTGAAAAGCGTAAATATTGCAGCGAAATTAATTCACTTTCTAGTTCGGCGCAGTTTCGAAATCCCTTTCAAGTCGCCATCACTTGACTGCCATATGGATTCAAATGCTTTCGTGCTTCGAAAATAACTTAACATCCTGATGACAGAGGCAGTATGACCTCTGAAACGTTGGTAAACATCGACCAGACTACACAGCGCAACAACCCAGAAGACAGAAATCTTCATACTCACCGCTGTGAGAACCTCAAGTCTTACTTAAGTGAAATTTGTTTTATAAAATTAATGTCGCAAATTGGATATTTAGAGTTCAGATACGTAGGTGTAAATTGGTCTTTAGTACATATGTCTTTCACTTAACGTCTTCCAGACCTAGGAATATAGCTTTTAAAGTCCTGTTGAGGAATTAAAAATTATATTCCTCCATAATTTGATAGTTTGTGATTGTTCCAAAATATGAGACTACTCGTTCCCTCTTCTTATTTTCTGTCTCATATTCAAGTACTTTCCCCTCATCATCACATTTCCCGTCATACATGGGAAATTCGTACAATATTTTTGTTTGGCAAAGCAACGCAAGAGATCCTTACCAGATGTGATTGCACACGTTAGTATAGATCTTACCGGACAGACTTCAGTACTTGATATCTTTGAACACGGTAATGAAACTTCCGATTCTATAAACAACGGGTAATTTCTTCGTCAGTTTTGACACACTCAGTTTACTGTCCATTAGAACAACATGTTTCGGTCCAGGTTCAGTTCCCAGATTTTACATAATTTTACAAGGAATCGTATTATCTCGTCCCGATGTCATGAAATAATAATAAAATTTTACGATAAAAGTTTTTAAATTAGTTAAAACTGTCAAAACTTTAAAAATTTCAAAAACGTTAAGGTATTTTTTTTCTTCAATTTTTGCTGCACAGATTGGTGCGTTATTGTAGACTGAATGGACAGTGAACTAAGTGTTTGTAAATCGAACAAGAAAGACGAGTGTATGGCGTAACACACCGGGATGCTACACTACACATCGTGACTATCTGAGTTTCTTTCTATTGGCTTCTGTAGTTACATCGTATATCAGCCAGAACTGAAAATTATCGTTGAAATAAATGCGTTATTGTAACATAAAAGTCGCTTATATTAATAGGGAGACTTAAAGATTGACCACTATGACGCCAGAGGCCGCTAATCTGCGTACGAGTACGTCACTCGCGTCAACGTGGCAACCCTTCGCAAATGAAAACATAAGTTCTCGCTCCTTTGTGTCCAATTATTATAGAGTGACGTCACATTTAGGTCTTCTTATTACTGCTCCTAATCTTCGTTCCACTGCCTTGTCCGTCTGCCGTCCTCCTCCATCGCTGGCACGTATTTACGTCCTGTGAACCATTCCCGGTTGGAAGGCCCGCTAACCTAATCCTCTGTCCCTGTTTTTGTGTGCGCAGACAGCCAGCTCTTGCGATACGCCATTTGATCCACTGCTGTGTTTTTCTCGGGCCGCGTCTTCGTCATAGTGTGTTCTTCCCCCAACCCCGAACTCAGTCAGCTCTACTATACGAGGGCTATGTAACGTATAATGAGACAAGCGAGTGTCGAGAAATCGATACCTGCAATCTGGCAGGACCAAAACTGGCTTCGTCGTGTACAGTCTTCCGCAGAAAAGAATATTTTCCATCAGTTTAGTTTAAAGTTCGAGAATGTGTTATCAAGGAGCGATTACACGGTTTCCAGCCACTGGTAAAGAAATTCCCGCCTTCTTTGGAGTACACAATTTTGTATTTGAATTTTATTATTATTTAGTGTTCTGTCTGACGACAGGTCCATATGAACAGGATCCTTCCATCCTTTTCTCGGACTGGGACCTGTTCATATACGTTCTTGGCAGATGATCCAGAAGTGGTTTGCCATTGCCTTCTTCTGTGTGTGAATGGAGTAATTGTTGGGATGCCAATGAGGAAAACTCCGTGTTGCCTAGGCCACGGCCTTGCCCAACACAAGTTAAAAATTCGGGCCCCGCCGG